TTTTCAACAAATAAGATTATCTTCTGATATTGGATTCGTTTAATTGATTTTATCAATATTCAATGAATATTTTTTTTCTCAAAAATTTTCAAAATCGAATTAACAAAAAAAAAACGAAGGAAAATATCTTGTCGAAGATTTTAATTTTTATTCAAACAAATATTATTATAGAATAAACCAAAGGCATTTTATTTGTCTTAGTTAACGAATTAAAACAAATCTTTATTAATATAATATCAATTTAATTCTTGAAATATTTCGTTTAAAAAAAAAACATTTTTTTTCTAAAAAGTTGAATAGAATTTTAGAAAACAAAAATTTTTTAATTTATCATTTGAATTAACTTTCATAATGAAAATAAATCATAGAAATTAATAGGATAAAAAGAAAAAAAAACAGACGATGTTGTTGTTTAGAATAAATTGACAATAAATCGAAGTAAATCAGATGGAATTGTTGAAAATAATGATAAAAAACATATTAAATTAAGTCCATATACAATGTTTTATCGTAAATTGTATGAATATGTCTTATCTCGTCTTGATCTTATTTGTTGTCGTTTATATGGATCTCAATCAAATAAATTTGAAAGAATCATTTGGAATTTATTTGAAAATTATACTCAGTTATTATTTCGTTCACGATTAATTCAAGTATATAAATCAATGCCTAATTCGAAATTAAAAACGGTTCGAGGTGTTTTTATTCGTTCAATTAACAAATATGATTTTGTTGAAAATGAGATTTATATTCAATTCAAGATATTTATTCTTTTTTTTTCTTCAAGATAAAAATTCATGTTTAACACCATCAAAACCTGCTGGAACAATTAATTTAATTGATGGATATATAATTGGTGATATAACTAGTTTTTATAAAGAAATATTTCTTAACATTCCGAATCTAGATAAAAATTTAAAAGAAAATCGATTAATTGATCTTCCTTATAGTAATAAAATATTTGAAAATATTATATCAGGATATGTTAACGTAAATATATCTTCAATTAATTATTCATTAAATAAAATTCAAACAAATTCAACACCGAATGTTTTATCATCATCGATTCAAGTAGGTAACCTTTTGTTCTTTTCTTTGTTTTTTTATTTTATTATTGATTATTTATTGTCAATTGTATAATTAAATATTTATTTAATATTATTTCTAATAAATATTGATCATGATAACTATATATTAATTATTATATTCAACAATAACAAATATATATACAAGTTATTTAATCGACAACGAATTAAAATATAGACGATAT